GAGGAAGAGGAGTTGGAAAATAAATAAATAAATATTAAAAAAAAAAAAAAAAAGTCCGAAAAAGTGGTTTAACTCACGAGCTCCGCGCGCGCGCTACTTTCAGCAACAAGTGGCAGGAATAAAGAGAGGTTTCCTCCAGGGCATCACAAGTTTCCGAACTAATTACGCACAGAGGAGGAGGAGGAGGAGGAGGAGGAGGAGAGAAAGAGGGAGTGGAAACAGGAGATGTCCCGAAACGATTGTCCTCTGCTCCAACAACACCTCCCATCCACCGAGGACAGACACATTCTGCTAATTAGCCTAATTAAAGCCACCTGTGTGAGATTAATAAAAACCAAAAACATGACAGGAAGTTTCATTTTTACACCAAGACTTTAAGACCTCTGACTCCTGTCAGAAAGAAAAATGACACATCTGAATACACTTCAGGGGGTCTATCTGTGGAAAACCTTCCAATATGGCAGCTTTCAAAATGGCTGTGTGTTCAGAAATGCCAATTTCTCTTTTTTTTCCCTGAAATAAAAGGGTGTACTGTGACTTTTGACTCACTCTGTACTTCTAAAACAAGTTAATTAAACTAAGCCTGATTCAAGACGACCAATACACAAAAAATGGCAACAGTTCAGTTAATGTTCACAGTTATCGAGCTAAAATTTGGTGTAGCATGAGTGCTAACAGCTAGGTTGAGTAAGTTTTTGATTAAAATTAAAATAAACTTGGAGTTAACGTCAAATGTCGATCAGTTAAACTGGTCAAAAATCTGCAATTAAAGCTGATAAATGTCAAGAAAAATGGCACAAATGATATTAAAGTTCTAAAGTTTCTGATAAAATCTGCAGGATTTCTGGTTGTTTTTGTTTTTAAACTTATTTATTTTTGCACTTGGCTGTTTTTGGTTAAACCCCTGACAGATGAGCTGGATTTGAACTTCAACTTGATTCACTTAAAGCTCCCGACAGGTAAGGATTTACAGGYGAGTCTTCAGTTTCTGCCTGTTAAAGTTTCTTCATTAAAGAAGGAAAAGTGACAGAACTGGAGCAACAGAAGAGGAAGATGTCATCAGTGTTGGAGGATGTTTGRACTCTCTGCAGCTAACAGCTTCTTATAGCAGCCGGACCCTACAAACACTGTTTTTACTTCTTCTAAAATGATTTTTCTCTCCATTTCCCTCCTCTTTTTTTTCATCAAATCATCCCACCAAGAGTTAAATTATTTACAAAACTTCCATTAGAAGCAATAAGTCCAAAACAGACAAGAACCCACATCTGTGTTCAGTCATTTTTTTTAGCATGAAATGGTTGAAATGTGCTTTAAACGGCGCTGCTGTTTGTTTTGGTCCCAGTTTTCTCTCTCTCTCCTCAGTTATGTGTGATGTGATGTTCGATGATTGAAACCACATCGTCTCTAAGCCAGCTTAAGCCCTCCCTGCTTCCTCTGCAGTCAGTCAAACCAGTTTTTTCCTCCATCGTGAACGTCCATCAAACACTGAAACGCAGGATCTGATGTTTTCTTATATGGGAAGCAACAACCAGAATCTTTGCCATCATATATAATCATTACAGGTTGAAAACTTATTAAAAACATACGGCTAAAAATGAGCTCATTCTTAAAATCAACGCGTTTCTTGCAAACATATTGCAGCAATCATCCAGTTTTTTCACTTTTTACTTGTAAATACTTGCAAAAGCTATGTTTTAAATGTACCGTATTTATTCATATATACTGTAATACGATCTCAAATATAATACGATCATCATTTTTTAGCTTAAAAAGCATAAAAAAATCTAATCACCAATAACCCATATAATACGACCCCCTACGGATGATTTTTAGGGTTAAATTTCTAGTATTATACATGAATAAATACAGTAACTGTGGATGAAGTAGAATAACCACGATAAAACATTTTTTTGGTCATCTAGTAAAATAAATGCTCTATTTTAAATGTATTAAAGCTGTTGTTTTAAATAAAAAGTTAAAGAAACTTTTGCGAATACCTGCTATAAATCTTACTCCTCCACTGTTAACACGACATATCTGATAAATTATTCCCTGCTGTTGTTGTTTTTGAAAATTTTCCATCTTTAAATTTAACTAACCGTAAAAAAAAAAAAAAAGGATGAGATCTGTTAGGACGTTGCGCAGGACTTGGTGTAAAAATTTGTGCCAACTCATTTGAAAGTGGCCGTAAATCTCCCGTCAAACCGGAGGACGAGTGTTTCAAAGTTCTCCCAGATTTACGACGAACCACAACGGTTAGAGTTTTAAAACACAATCACAATCGGTCGCATAAATCAGAGAGTCAGGCGGCCGTGTCTCTTCCTCCTCCTCCTGTCTGTCCATCCTCATCTGCCCGACTCTGCTGGCTCTTATTGGGACAGAAGATGGAGAAAACAGAACTCGCAGACACGAAGCGGGAGGTAAACACGACGTTGATCTGATGGCGTCGCGAGTTAAACTACAAACTGAGGCCGTTCAAATGGCCATCTACAGCAGGTAAGATATTCGTTGTTCACAACTTAAAAAAGTGTGTTTATTAGTAAAAAAAAGTCTTGTTTGAGTGGATGTAGTGGAAGCTTTAAAGCTGCTGGGAGCTGAACTGAAACAGGGAGAGGACTGACACGAGGAGTTATGACTGTATTCTGGGAGGAGAGGAAAATAAACCACTCGTGACAAGATAACAGGCACCTCTCAGTCTGCGTGTGGGGGAAAACGGAAAAAGAGGAAGGAAAGGTCAGAATCGGCAAATCGTTTGACCACTTAATGTTTTCAAATTGTTTAATTTAATCTTTGTTTTTTGAAAAAAAAAAACTTTTCTAATCTTATTTTAGTTCAAACAGAGGTGCCGAAGTGAGAAAACCACGAGTAAAGACACAAGATGAAAGAAGACAAAACCAATTTAAGATAAATGCATATTTTATTCATTCTCTTTTTTTTTTGAATCCACAAGTTCTTCATCATCACGGTCAGCGACGAACAGCATCGGTAGAAAACAGACAACAGGAAGCTGAATTTACAACCTGACGGGGTTTTCTTTCTAAAGTTAAACACTGTCTTTCAAGGTGTCCATAACCTCTGCGGGACCATTAAATCTTTTATTTTGAATGCCTGCGCACAAAATCAAAGCCCTCATTTTGGTTTTGACCTGTGGAAGAAAAAAAAAGGGGGCGGGGGACTAAATTTTTTTGAGCAGTTTGAGTGCCCAATTAGATAAGAGAAGGAAAAAATGTTACTTTAAGTTGAAATAATCAGAACCTTTAGTGTTTAAACACTTWAAGTGATGAGGAGGAAACCAAAAACATGACCTAGTGTTCCTGGCGGACACAAAACGTAACCTTAGTGTAACAAATAAAACATAATCTGCTATAATTCATAAACAAAACAAAAAAACAGATGACACTTTATGTTGCAATCTAATCAATTTTATGTAGAATTTTATAACAAGAATAAAATATATTTCTATTTATATAACATTTATTGTATATTCTCTCAATCTAACATGAAAAAAAAAAGATAAAGAAACTTTTTCAGAGACGGGGGAGTTCAGTTTTAACCACGTCTACAACCAAAAACCTTCTACAGCACATCTAAAAATGTGTTTTCATAAAGGTTTAGTGCGAGATTTAGAGTCGCTTGTGCCTTTTCTTATGGATAATTTAAAAAAACTGATGGGCTAAAGCGTCATGTCTCCCTGCTGAAAGCTTTTTAATAAATCATTTTGTGTTATTGACAATAATCTGGAAAAAAAATAAATTAATCAGACAGCAGAAGACGAAGGAAAACAAAAGAAAAAAGAGGGGCTGAAGTTAAAAAGATAGCAGCAAGTGATGTAAAGAGTCGAAGGCAGCTGAAATAGCCACACAGTGAAGGAATCAAATAAAAAAATGTGGCAACAACGTGCAAGTCGAGCTTTAAAAAGGAGCCGGCGCCCACTGTCCTCCTGAATTTAAGATGATTCTCTCTGTGGAGGTTTGTGGCACCGAGCAGATTTTTGTGTGTGTGTGTGTGTGTGTGTGTGTGTGTGTGTGTGTGTGTGTGNGTGTGTGTGTGTGTGTGTGTGTGTGTGTGTGTGTGTGTGTGTGTGTGTGTGTGTGTGTGTGTGTGTGTGAGTCCGGTCAGCAGCTGTCCTCCAAGGCGTTGACAACTTGTTCCAAAATGTCAGGGCATCGGTCAGCGATCTGCTGCAGGACCTGGTTGGCGTACTCCTGGAGCTCCGCCCCCTCCCTCTCACACAACGCTAACTCCGCCTCCAACTGGAAGATAAAAAGAAGGACTTTTAAATCATCTCATATTTATGGAGCCCGCGAGGGGACATGGGGAATTGTTTTTTCTTTTTGCGTTCCCACGCAAAAGTATTGCGTTACYTCGCAATAACTTTTGTGTTCCCTCGCAAAAGTCGTTTAACACTGTTGTGCCTGCTGGTTTATTAACAAACTCACACGYTCACCATTAGCGAGTTAGCCTACTGCTTTAATTCAGCTTCAGAATGAATATATCACACAGCCACGCATGGAAGTATGTCATATGCCGATATTTTAACACAGTGCAGCCACACATCAATGTCAATTTCACGAACTTGTGGAGACACATCCTGTTTTGGTAACCAGATATTTCAAAATAAAAGTCTGATTTAATTCAGTTCATATACAAAACAATTTTTTGCGTGGGAACGCAAAACAATATTGCGAGGTAACGCAAAAGTATTGCGAGGTAACGCAAAGGTATTGCGTGGGAACGCAAAAGAAAAAAATGCCCCCATGTCCCCTCGCGGGCTCCGTACATATAGCTAATGATAACGATAGCTAATCGTTGAATTCTTAAATCTAAAGTCAAAGCAGTGAGTTAGGATAATATTTGTTATTCTTAGTGAGTATTTGTCTTTTTTTTTTTTAACCTTTTAGGCCACTGCATTTCTTCACATGCATCGATTTTAAAGAATCATCTCCGGTGATCTTTTAGTGCTCAGTTTATCTGGTGGGATCGACTGTTAGTTTCTATCACATCAGCTTTGTGCTCAATATCTGTAAGACTGTTGGTTTTCTTCGTGAAACTTAGAGTTTCAAAATAAAACCCTCATGTTTTGTTTGTATCGTTGGATTTTGTGCACCACTTGTTTCTTTAATACATCAGGTAAGAAAGTTGCATTTCCAGATCTCTACCAGGAGCATTTTCTACCATAGCCGACTGAAGTTCTGGCTGTTTGTACCAATAAGTTGAACTACGCGAGTCCAAACAGAACCCAGCAGCTGGCTCTGCTCTGATGTTTTACAGTTTCTCCTGCATGGTCGAAGTAGTAAAACACACCCGCCGCGGCACATCTACTAAAGTTTTCATGGCCAACGTCAACGTCGTGCAGCTGGACTTCTCACGATCGCGTCTGACGGATCACCAAATCAGGCGACTGAGCTTTGCAGCTTCTCTGCATGTTCAAGGCGACACACACACACACACACACACACACACACACTGGACAGAGCGGTTCTTTCTGTTCACGCAGAGTGCAGCGTTTCTGCTACAGAGCGCCCGTGATATTTTCTTTGGCTGCCGCCGAGCTGAGACGTCAAATCTAACCGGCTTAATGACCAATACATCTGTATCAATAAGAGTGCCCCTAAAATAGTCATGTAACACAAGCCCACATTTATATTAGTGCATGTGTGTGTGCGTGGGGCCTGGGTCAGATATTGGCAAGTCCCCCCCCTCCCCGTTATACCCTAACCTCTTTCCTCCCCTCTCATCTCCCAGCCAGAAAAGCCCTGCGGTATTATATAATACAGCGGTGTTTTTCACGTATAAAACTGCTCAAAGCAATAACATTAACGATTAATGAAACGCTGCTAATAAATCACATGCATATATAGCCAATTACCCATATATATACTGCAGGGTTGTTTTATTATTGGAGATACTGAGAATGTTATCCAGGCACAGAGGCTCTAATAAAAGAAATGTCAAACTGGATTTTTTTTTATGAAAATGCAGGGAAAGTTATGGAACTTGGCTCACGCTGAGAAACACGAGTCGAGATGAACCAGTTTAGAGTCGTTTGACTCTTCTCACTTCATTAGAATATACATTTGGAATCAATCAGCTGGTTTATGAAATCAGTTAAGTGTTTCGGCTCGACTGGTGACCGTTCAAAACGCTCCATATCCAGCCAAAAAGTGTGACTTTGTTTTGAGATTGATGTTAAATTAATCTAGTCTTCTTACCAAGTGCATCAGCAGATTATTTAACTTAATTCAAGAATATTTTTACTACAATTTAGTATTTTTGAACTTATTTTAAGTGGCTACTTTTTGCACTGTACAGTGAAAGCACCACAGCTAAGTGGCTAATTTTCTGTTAGCATCAGTGCGATGTCAGAGTGGTCTTAGTGGTGCCCGAATGTTTTCCCTGAGAGGGCCAATATAAAAATCTATCCAAGGGCTGCGGGCCAAATTTAAGGATATAATACATGAAATGCAAATACTTCTTAAGTAAACTATTTGACTTTAAGTGGAAATACTGTTTCTACATAGGATGACAGGTTACAACCTAGTGGTACAAACTAGTCACGGTTGGTCGACTGGTCACGATTGGTCGACTAGTCACGATTAGTCGACTAGTCACAATTAGTCAACTAGTCACAATTAATCAACTAGTCACGGTTGGTCGACTGGTCACGATTGGTCGACTAGTCACGATTGGTCGACTGGTCACAATTGGTCGACTGGTCACGATTAGTCGACTAGTCACGATTGGTCGACTGGTCACGATTGGTCGACTGGTCACGATTGGTCGACTGGTCACGATTAGTCAACTAGTCACGATTAGTCGACAGGTCACAATTGGTCGACTGGTCGCTATTAGTCGACTGGTCACAATTAGTCGACTAGTCACAATTAATCAACAAGTCACGATTAGTCGGCTGGTCACGATTGGTCGACTGGTCACGATTGGTCGACTAGTCACGATTAGTCATCTAGTCACAATTAATCAACTAGTCACGATTGGTCGGCTGGTCACGATTGGTCGACTGGTCACGATTGGTCGACTGGTCACGATTAGTCGACTAGTCACGATTGGTCGACTGGTCATGATTGGTCGACAAGTCACGATTAGTCGACAAGTCACGATTGGTCGACTGGTCACGATTAGTCAACTAGTCAAGATTAGTCGACAGGTCACGATTGGTCGACAGGTCACGATTGGTCGACTGGTCACAATTAGTCAACTAGTCACGATTAGTAGACTGGTCACGATTGGTCGACAAGTCACGATTAGTCAGCTAGTCACAATTAGTCGGCTGGTCACGATTAGTCGGCTAGTCACGATTAGAAAGAAAAGAAAGAAAAAGAAATAGAGAAAACAAGAAGAAGACTAGAGGAAAAACGAAAGCGAAAAGAAAAAAAAGGTTACAACCCAGTAATCATGGAAACAGCTGGTGAGCCAAATCAAATGGCTTGGTGGGCCAGTTTTGGCCCGCGGGCCCCTCTTTGTAAAGACTCACATCTACCTGTATACCTGAAAGGAGTTTAATATTTAAAGTGCCTGTGACATCAAAATTTTTGTAATAATACAAAAGCATTTTTGGAAAGGTAACGCTGAGAACGTATTACAAAATAAATGTCATGCTGCTGAGATGAACAGTTGTTGAGATATTTGCATGTGAAGCAACAGGAAGTGATGTCAAAGGGGAATGACTGCATGAAAACAGAGCTATGCTAAAATGCTCAACAGCCCAAACTGTGGAGAGGAATCTGATATTTCTTTACATTATTTTCAGTCACTATCTGACAGAAACTAAAACGTCAGCTTTCAAATAATAATAATAATGTTTCAATAAACAAAGACCAACAAGTAATTTTTCTTAAAGGAGCTCCCCTTTGATGTCACTTCCTGTTTCCCTTTTGCCGAGCCAAGTTCAAAAGAAAATAGGCCAGTTATGTGTCCAAATGGGTAAAACAACATGTGCTATACAAAGTTTCTTAAATAAAACAATGTTTTCCTTGACTTTTTGTATCTGAAGGAGAAGCATGTCACAGGCACTTTAAAGTCAGGTGCAGCTCAGAAGGTTTAAAAGAGGATTTTTTACGGAAGTTGTATTTTCTATTGAGGTATGTTTGTTAGCAGTTCTTAAAGTTCAGACTCTGGTCCAGATCTGGACCTTTACAATGTATAGCACTAATTGCACTGGTATGATTTGTTTGGTCTTTTTTTAACTGTCTCTGGGGATCTGTAACTTTTTTTTATCTTAATTTCTTTAATTTTATGTTGTCTTATTCCATTTAAATTAAGTTTACTTTTTAAAAAGACATTTTATTGTGATGAGGCAGGAAAATTAACCAAGCTAATCCAATTTAAGAACAAATTTCTTTGGAAAATATATGTTTTATTGTCAAAAGTTGGAGCAGCTTATGCCTACAAGTAAAGAACTGGAGGCTTTTCTATTGGTTGTAAGTTATAAACAAGTTCAATAAAAGGATTTACTTACTGATACTATCTATACAACAGATTTAAATCTTTGATTATGAAGTTTGATAACTCCTGATATAAGCCGAGGGTTTTCTATTAACCCTTCTGCTGATCTTGTGCTAAAGTGACCCACAAAGCTAGGACCAGCTACCTCAGTAAGATCAGAAACATTTTTAAGTCTTAACCCTTTATTACGAGCAGACAATCTTATTTATAATTCCACCAGAAATTAGAAAAAAAATGTTTTGTACATTTTAATTATAGCTTCTAGACAGAAACTGGAACAGGCCAAAATAGGTTCTGGCAGGCCAGACTAGTCCATAAAATTATAATTTGTACATTTCTATATAAAACCCAGTGTGGTTGAGGGATGTCCAACTCCTGCTTTGCAAAAAAAAAAAAAAAAAAAAAAAAAAACAACAACAACTGGCCATTTCACAAATAAATAAAAAGAAACTGTAATATTTTAAAATCATAACATTTAAGCTTTAAGACTCAGGAAACTGAGTGTTTGATGTTTGAAATCAACTCTCCTGTTTRCGTGAACAAAGTTTGGCCTAATTTGCTGCATTTGAAAGCTCCACYGGCACCAGACGGCGAGGAACTGCTCCCGTCACACACCCAAACCTACAGACAAACTCTCTGCTTCCAGGTGATGCAAAAAGGAAACACATGTTTCGAATATTGCTGTGAAATCACCCCACAAACCATTWGCGGTTTGTTTTAGCACATTTTCAGTTGCGGGGAGAAAACAACGTGAYGTTATCGGGGCTTTGAAGGATCACCAGCACCTCGC